TTGCATACTCAATGACCTCTATGAACAGTCTCAATCGAGTAAAATCTAAAACTTATTAAAAGAAAAAGTTCTTCCTTTCATGGCGTTCGTTCAGCGATCTGCAGTTCAGCAACAGTGACATTTGTGTTTCAAGATGCATTGTTTGGACGACCGTTACAGAAGCTATCCTATATTCGAGACGAGCGTCTCGACATACTCGAGACGTTCAAAGAACAACAGAGGCATTGCTAGAAGTCCTTCAAGCCTTCCATGAATTCAGAAGCCACATCAATATGATGGTAAACGACATGGACTTACTAGAGAAACACCTCCAAAGAATTATTCAAGAAAGAAATTAAAAAACCCCACGGTTAAGACATTCCATGCAAACGGCTCTTATCAGGGCTTCCATGCACAAAAACAAAAGTCTTCGTCTTAATTAGCTTTGATTCGTGTCCTTGTTTTGTTGATAGAAAATTGGGAAAGGAAATAATATCCTTATCGTGGATATCCACGATACACATTTGAGCGACTTGTAGCTAACAAAAAAACCTCAGGTCACTTGACGGCCTACAGACTCCCGGTCGGGCGTCTAATCACGCAGAGATTCATAAAAAAGTAGAAACTTTTTTTACGAGTTTTGAAAATCACGCCAACAGATTATTTTGTAATGCTTCCTCTCAAGTGTCGTTGCCCGAATCATGAGCGTTTTGCCCGAAAAAATGCGTAAATTCCGTGCCCCCCCCCCCCCCGCCCCAGCTCCCTCGCCTATGCTCCTCTTTCTTTTTAGACGGCTTCATCGCCTGCTTATGACAGGGGTCTGGAGACAAGTAAGCATCAGTTTACCTGTTAACACTCGCTAGTAGCTCGTTGATTGGTTGGTCGTCAATGGAACGAATTTCCTGGATCAATATGATATCATACCTCAAAATAACCTGGAACAAAAAATTACAGTAAAATTTAAATTACACTAAAATTTAAATCTCCTTTTTGAACCATAGCCAGAAACACCAAGTTTGACTGATCATTGAAGCACTGAACTGGATTTCAACATATGTATTTATGCTGCCCACACATGCACATCTATCAAATTTAAATTGTTAACAAGTTTTTCGTTTTCAGCGATAACAATCACTAATGAACTCAAGGGCATAACATTAAGAAAACCTTCATATGTTTTCATGTATCACAAAAACTCCGAATCAGTTCCTTGTCTTTGCTCTTGTAAGCTTATTCTGTTTTAGGGTGATCAAATGACTTCCGGTAAGATTTCTAGCAAGCAATGCGCCGATTATGAATCCAAAGTCGTCATAAATCCACAAAAAAATTTCTTAGTGCACACGTAGTCAATCTTTTTTTCATCGTATTTGAATTCGCCGTAAGTCATTCCCTCGTGCACTGAAAGGGCATTCAGATTCCCAACCGTTTTTTAAATTATTTTCCGTAAAACACGATAAAACTCAACCAACCTTTATTGATTGATCCAAGCAGGCCGCAAGGCCGTTATTATAGTTTTCAATCTTTCGCGCAAGTGTAGTTTGTTTTCATAAATCTAGACTAATTCTGAAAGACATTTTTTGTAGGCAAATATATAGGGCAAAGACGTTATCCAAGCTAAAGAGTAAACACACGGAGTAGATACTCGTCGCAGCAATTCCAAGGCCTACCTTAATTAAAACGTCTTTAACCATCTGGTTTTCCATTTTCTTTGCTCCAAATATTTGAACATTGAAAGATGCTATTTTCAAGGCGTTTCCTCCTCGTCTGCTGTCAAGAAGTGTTTTGCTAAGATCAAACAAAAGAAAGGAAGTAATTAACAGGAACGAGCACTGAACATCTTGAATAGGTTTACCGTACTCCACTCCACTCCGCTCCACTCCACTTCACGCCACTCCATGCCACGCCACGCCACGCAACGCGACTCCACTCCACTCCATGCCAATCCACTCCACCCCTCTCTACTCTTCTCTACTCTCGTCTCCTCTCCTCTCCTCTTCTCTCTTCTCCTCTCCTCTCCTCTGCTCTGTTCTCCTCTACTTTCCTCTCCTTTTCTCTCCTCTACTCTACTCTACTCTACTCTACTCCACTCCACTCCACTCCACTCCACTCCACTCCACTCCACTCCACTCCACTCCACTCCACTCCACTCCTTGATTTCAAACCTTTTGAAACCCACTTACCATAACACTGGTAAGACTCCAAAAGCCAGCAAGGCCAATAACATCGTGTTATACATATTCAGTCCAGAGATAGCTTGCAATGATGATCTACAGCAAAGCATAAAATCCATAAGTAGAATAAAAAATTCGGCAGCAGAGTTCGCCCGATGGACAAACCCCTTTTCATTGATAAATCTTTTGCGTAAATATGACGATCACCGTGAATTTGGGAGAGTTTTTGAGACGTGTTTTTAAATGAGGGGGCAGTCACCAACTCATCTCTCTCCGCTAGTTGATTCTCTTTCTCGTGCTTTAGGATGGCACAAATGCAACAGTGAAATGCTTGCTAGTGCACTGACTTACAATGCACTGGAAAAACCGCAACCAAGCATAGCCGCTTCGCTGAAAATTTCAAGGTTCATGGACATTAATACAAGACAGAAAAAGCGCAATTCTGAACCACTTTCAAACGACACTTAAAGATCCCACAACGCATAAACCTTTGTATATAAAAAAAGACCACTGTTTGTAATGCTTGACGTGACCCAAAAATTTTCAGCTACTGCAACAAGAATTGTTAACCAATGTTTGCGTGCTTTATTTGCTATCATTCAACACAACTCATCTAGTAGGGACGTAGAGTTGAGCTGATATCGTGATCATGAAACAGTCCAACTTCACATTTTCTTAAGTAGACGCAAGCTATAAACCGATCGAGAAGGTGTAATGGTCGTACCAAACGCCAACCATCAAAACTTGTCCCGTACAGAATAAACTGCTACTGTACACAAAGTGTTTACAACGTACACGCATGTAGATACTTCTAGTTCCTAGGATTAGGAAATACTTACATTGCTAGTGGAACACGCTTTTGAGAGAATGACAGACAACTAATTTAAAACCGCTAGGGACGATATCAGGTTGCGGCGTGTGAACAGAAGGGCTTACTAGAAACTTCAAACAATCCCCGCCAACTGTCACATGATAATTATAGATATAAGTATCAGTATAATTTGCATCATGTTCACTTTATCAATCATAGTTACAAAATGTAAATTTTTTAATTAGCGTTTAACGTAAAAACATTCAACCTTTTAAGACGCTGTTCAATTTATTTTAACTTAGCTACATCTCAAAGATCGAGAGTTGTTCTTTAGATAATTAACTGAGAAACATTTCATGCAGTTTTCTTGGCTCAAATGCAACATCACGTTAAACCACATCACATACTGGACCGCGAAATTTGAATTTTGTTGACAAGCTATGCAAATAACAACTTGAATACTTGGCGCAGTTCAGCGAAATAAGAGCAACTATGTATAAATATAATGTATACTGGCTTTTCATATCTAATTATTTTGTTTCGAGAAAAAAAAAAATCCATTATTAATCCCCCGATTCCGTCTCGGGGTCTTCGAACTTCGAACTTCGAATTTTTGTTTCTGTCTAAATAGAGATAAAGAATAAATGATAGTGAGTTATACAAAAGTTCTGTGTGTTTCTATAGGTCGCCGACTCAATCAGTATTCGCCATTTTTTTTTTTTAATTTCACTCCCTTTTATCTCTAACAGCTCGTATTATACGTAAAGGTGTCAGTGAATGTATTATCCCAGCCAGTTTAGAGATGCGAAAAGTGAGTTTACTCCTTAAATACCAATTGTTAAGTTTGCAGTCCATAGGAGTGTTTTCACAGTATATTTGTAACGTATCAACAGTAAGTACTTTAATGTAACAAGCTACTACAGTCTGTAACGTCCTTGACTTTCAAGTAACTGTTTCAGCTGTTTGCGTATTGGCAATCCTAAAGACATAAATTGGTACCAAATAATGAGTTGTATTATTAAACACTCTCTGTGAAGGTAATATGAAGTCCGGATTGGTTGGAACTGTCTTGTAGAAAACCGTTGTAACGCTTTGTTTTGCTTTCTAACTGAGTTTCAGGAGTGCCAATGAAAAACTGTTATGAAATCATCATACATTTTTGAGTTGAAAACGGCCAATTAAAAGTTTAGCCATAGTTGGCCCCAACAGAATACAAATGCTAATGGTTTGCATTGAATAAGGTGATAATAAGGCAACTCATTTTACAACATTAATTGAAGAACATTAAGTATGCCATGAGAACATCTATGAGCCCATGGCATTCGATAAAACTTCTCAAGTGACTCTATACCTCATCTCTAAAATGACTTTTGGTCAGGAATCCGTAGCGACAAACCAGAAAAACTATTTATCTTCTGAAAACCAATTTAAACCAAACTTAATTTTGGCGGTAATTACCCCTCATACATAGTTGCACCACTTTTGATCATGGTACTGAGCATTTTTTTCTTTGTCTCCTTTGTTTCGGCAGGAATGCATGATCGAAAACAATTTCAAGGCAAATACTCTATGAATTCCTTATGTTTTGGAATTGTTTTTTGTTTGATGGTTACGCGGACAGATGGAAAGTTACTTAATTTCAGAACCGCTAGTTATGTCATAAACGAATTGACCATGTTGACAATTGTTCAGGCACACTGAAATCTTGTTCACAACTGTACATCGGAAAGCTAAACTTAAAGATATTAAGTTAAGTAGGATTTGTTTGTTCGCGCAAAACAGTAAAAAAACTCTAGAGCTGAATTCCGATGGAAGAATAAAAATCAGTACATTGAAAGTTTATGGCATAACTCAAGTTTCTGTTGAAAAAGTTTTCCGTTTGGAATTGAAGAAATGGGAGAATAGCGCTTGTGAAACTGGTTACTCTATGCACATTTCGGCTTTAACGCGTGAGCAAATATGAGCTCTGACCAAATGTTCGTCAAGAGAAAATTGCTTTCCTGTCCGATCTCACAGCTGAAAAACACTTTGCTCGCGATTTCGGATGCAAATAGTTTCTTAGCAAAAGCTTGCCTTAAATATGCTTAAGTGTAACCCAAAAATTATATCAAAATTCCCAAACAGTTGATATAAGCTTACGGAACTTCCCAAGTTTATCGCAAATTATTTTAAAATAAGCTTCTGCATCATTATCCAATCAGAGAATCGTGTCCTCCAGGAAAGGGCCGAAAGTTCTCGAAACGCAGTGAGTGTTAACCATTTTATTTTTTCTTCGTAAGCAAAACATTTGCATCACCACTCAAGAAGGAGTTGAGGATTTGCACTGAAGATAGCATCGGAAGTAGAGCATGGAAAATCTGAGCTCGAGAGTTAAAGATGTTCTCGTTAATGTAGACCTAATTGATTGCAATATTCATAACATAGGTGACTTGCCTGTAAGTCGTCTTGTTCAATAGGCCACGTTCGATATATCAACATTTTAACATGGCTCCGAGGCTTTTAGGACAA